CACACCCAGTTCCCAGATGTTCCCTGCTGCCTGCCTCAGACATGTAGGTAACCCCAGAGGCCCTGTGCCTCTCTCATTGGAGTACCCCAGCCAAGAAGGGACACCCCTCGGAGCTAAAGCCAGTCCACACATCAGTTACATATATATAATATTATTTATATAAAATTATATGAATAATATATATATGTATATAACTCATATATATATATATATATAAATGCTTCCCAAGGTCCCAGAATTCCACCATTAGACATTCACTCCTTAGGAAAAGCTAAGGAGTTTTCAAAGGCTTCAGTTCATTCCCAAGATGGGAGACCTATTAACCCATGGGTTTCTTAACTAGGAGCAAAAAACAGGCATGTTCCTGGGGCAGGAGCAGTCTGGAGCCCCAGCTCAAGAACAAGGGCCCCTGGAGAGGGCTGGCAGGCACTTCCAAGAGGCAGGAGGGTCTCTGGAGAATGAGGGTACAGCAAATGGGATTCCTAAAAGGGAAGTGAGAGGCTCAGAATTCTGGTGGGCCTCCAGCTTGTGTCCTAACAGGGAAACCAGGGCTGCCTCCAAGCCCAGAGTGGGAGGGACAAGGGTTTTCTTGACAGGGCGAGGGGCTAAGTGTGGGTCCCCTCTCTAGGGGCATGGACCAAGCTGTCACACATCTGCACAGGCCTCTCTTTCTGCTTGGGGAGGCTTCCCTCACCCTTGCAAACTCGGGTCCATCCTTAAAGCCCACCTGAAGCATCGCCCCACCCCCAGGCAGGCCATCCCCTCCCTCCAGCTGTGATCACAGCTAGCACAGGCCCTGGGAAGGTGCCAGTCGGGTATGGTACAATGTATGTAGGTGTCCCCGTCACCCAGCAGGGACTCAATCTCACTCACCTTTGGTCCCCCGCACCTCTTACTGAACCCAGAGCCAGGAGCCCCAATCAGGAGGCATGCCAGGGCTTTCCAGCCATGAGGCACTGTGCAAGCACCCAGGCCTCACACATCTCTCCCTCTTGGAGAAAGTAGTAATCGTGGAAATAACAGCAGCACTCGGTGTTTAGTGAGCACTTACTATGAGCCTCATGCTACCCCAAGGGCTCTCCACGCACCACCTCCTTTCATCGTTGCAACGTCCCTATAAGGGAGTTACGGTCATTAACCCTGTTACACAAGGAATCAGGCACAGAGAGGGTACGTGAGCTGCCCAGGGGCACACAGCTAATGAGACCAGGACCCGGAATTCAGACTCTAGTGGTATGGTTCCAGAACCGGTGTTCTTAGCCACTAGAGATCCCCTGGTGGGGAGGAAGATGGTCAGGGAGCAGCCGACAAGCTCTGAGTGGAAGAGAACTCAGAGATTTTAATGACCAGTGCCTCCCAGGCCTTCTCTCTCTCCAGGCCCCAGCCAACGACCCAAGAAGAGCCGCAGAGCCTCTTCCCAGACCGAGCCCGCTGCTCCCAGGCCCATCCCTGTGCTGAGTGCCAGTCGTAAGAAACGTTAAAGACCCCACAAGCACCTTGGCCCACACCAGGGAGGCACACGGCTGCCTGCTGGGAGGCAGAGCCATGATTTGGGGCTATTCTTAGCAAACCACTGGCTCCCCTCCCAGAGGCCTGGCAGGCAGCAGGCCTAAGCTTCCCAACGCCCTGCCTGCCACTTCCTGACCCTGCATGTGGAGTCCCGCAGGACTAAGGAGCGGAGTGGCGGGTGGGCGAGGGGTGAGGACAAAGCCCTCCGGTTTCAAACGAGAGGTGTCTACTTGCCCAGCCTTCCCAAGGCCAGGCAGCTGGCCGCTGGAACAGCTCTGGGGGGTCCTGGCCACAGGGGAAGGCTCGTAATCAAAGATCCACTGGCCGCACTCGCTCTGTGCCATACCCTGGGCCGTACGCCTTCTTCTTATTTTCTCCCATTTAGACCTCAAAACACCCTCAAGGACTAGGGACTTACTGGTCCCATTTTAAAGATGAGGAGTTTCATGCTAAAGGTAAATCAATTTGGACATTAAGAAACCTGCCCAGGGTCACGCAGTGAGTTAGTGTCAGGCTGTGTCTAGACTCTGGGTTGGCTCCAATCTCCAGGCTGGACAGAACAGAAGTGACCACAGCCAGAAGGTGGGGGGGGGGGGGCCTTCCCTGTCCAAGCCCAGGGTTTCAGGGAGGGGCAGTCCATACCTGAGGGCAACAGTCTCAACAAAGACACTCCCCCGGCCCCCCTGCTGCCACAGGTCTGCCTTTTCTCTTCCCTAAGAAGGGTCCCTTCCTGGGGCACCTGGTTGGCTCAGCCTGTGACTCTTGATCTCAGGGTCAGGAGTTCAAGCCCCACGTTGAGTGTAGAGATTATTAAAAACAAACAAATAAATAAATAAACTTATTTTTTAAAAAAAGAATCATCCCTTCCCCACTGGAGAGCCTCAGGCTTGGGGTCCGAAGGAGATTTCCCGCCAGGTTCCTTCCCTACCCAGGCCATACAGCCTCACTTCAGGAAACTTCTGGAAACCCAGGATAGAGGAGACTTTAAGGTTCAAGGAGCCCCTGCTGGTGCTGAGGGCACGCACCCAGCCGTGTAACTTAGGAAGTAGGGAGGTCAAATGACGCTCAGAGTAAAACAAAGAGCAAGTCCTGTAGGGTCTTCAAACCCCAGTGGGGGCCTAGAAACAAAGCCACACCACAGATCACCTGTACTACCACCACCACTCAAAATGGGACAACTTTCCTCTGCCACACGGAGTCACAAGGGCAACTGAGCAGTGCACACTGCAGGCTACACTTTGGAACCCACCTGACCATGTCCTGGCCTGACGTGTATGTGTCCACTTCCCCCAGGAGCCCACGGCCAACTCCACATCTGGCTCCAGGTACTCGAGCCCCTTCCATGTGACTCCAGGCCCCGAGTCTGTGGATGTCAGCTCACATCCATGCCCATCATCCCTATGCCTGCCCACGACACATATGCCTCTTGTATGGGGAAGCTCGAGTCCCCACCAAGGTGTAATCCACCTCACGTCTGTGGCCCATGTGTGGTCCACGCTTAGGTGTCCACATGGTCACCTGCACACATCTGTACCCTTGGGTTGCCTGGTCCACCTCTGCTGCCTTCCTGCATCTGTCTTCATTCTTGTCTGCATCCAGTTCCCCTCTGCCTCTGCCCACACAGCCATAAACCCCAGCATGCGCACCAGTATCCCCCACCTGTGCCCGGGTGCCCCTGCATGAGCCGACTCTTTGGAGGCGAGTGGTGTATTCACACAAGTGCTCACAATGCCAGCCATGGGCAAGCTCGGCAACCCCCTCTCCCAGAACAGTGCCCAAGGCCATGAGCTCAAGCACAATGCCACCTCCACCAAGTGTTCCAGAAAAGCAGAAACCTGCCAGGGACGATGGGGGCGGGAGCAGAGCCCCAGACACAGCAAACTTCAGAGTGAGGTCAGTGCTGGCCCGGGACCACCCACACATCAAGCCAGCCCAGTCCTTCGGCACCCCCAATTCCATCAATACCCACATCAATACCTGATGGCCAGCAAAGGGGAGAGTGCCCGTCTGTGCTCACAGGAAACTCTGGCTCAGGGCCTCCAGCCTTCCAGCCTCATTCCCAGCCCCGGGCAATAGAGGCTCTTCAGAAATGAAGTGAGGACTTCCTCCCTGCTGGCCTCTGAACCTCCTATATAGGGTTGGACCCAGACCTTAAACCTCAGAGGCCCCAGGGAAGCTGAGAGAGTCCCGAGCTCGGCCTGACTCCAAAACCAAATGGGTTTCTATAGAAATCTACTGGGCGGGGGTGGGGGGGGGCTGAGAATGGGGCTGGGGACACATACACTGGGATGGGGGCACATACACGCAAGAGAATCCCTCCTGCTGCTCCCTGTCCACGGAGGTGGAGAGGTCCTCACTACCAGCAGGATAACAGGGAGGGATGGGTATGGTGCTGGAACGTTTTAAATAGATTTAAACAGACGCATATGATTGCCTGAGAAGGGATCCCAGGACCCTTGCCCCACTGCGCCCCCCCCCCCATTGATGGCAGCCTACATCACTCATTTAGCAATTAATCGCATGTAGCCTCTTGGCACTTCCACTATTATTAGTCTGCGACTGGTATGGAAAGCTTGTATCAGCAAACTTTCTGTATGTGTCTTGCACTCTCCAGAGGCCTGAGCCACCTGAGGGACAGCGCGCTGGGAGTCCTCCCACACTCCCACCCTCCCCAGCAGAGGCCAGGGCCAGGCACTTAAGAGGTGCTCGGTCACTGGGTCCAGCTGCTCTGTACAGAAGCCAAGGAGTTGGTGCCTAGACCTATGGTTGGAAGAGTCAGGAATCCCAGAAGCTTCCTGAAGCCATGAAGCTTTCTTCCATTTCTCAGTCCCCAAGGGATAAGAACAGGTTCACACTGTCCTGGCCGCTACAGTGGCAGGTGCAGCCGGCCTCCCACACCCCACTCTGCTTTCTGACAAGTCCCTGGCTCTTCAGGAGAAACCTCTGGTGATGAAAAGAGTGAGTCTTTTCACTCTTTTCCTGGGAGACCCAGGTCTGCAGACGGACCCAGGTCTGCAGAGGGACAGGGCCAGAGGAGCTCAGAATCAAAGCTGGAGCCACTGGGCCCTCGTAACCCGAACCCGTTCCATGGGCCTCAAGTCTTTTAAAGATGCGCCCGGAGACCCCCCACGTGTGGATCAGGAGCCGGCTCCCCCCTCCAACGGGCGCGGGGAACCTGGCTCAAGGCAGTGCCCCGGCCTGGCCCCAAGGGTGCAAGTGCTGCCCGCCCACGTTCACCCCAGTGCGAGGGAAACCTTGGGGCAGGACCCAGCCCGGGACCGGCGAACCCCTCCCTAACCGCCCGCGCTTTATCGAGGTCCCGCTTCTCCCCGGGCGCTAATCCCGGGCGGGTTTGGAGCGGAGCCCAGGAGGCGTGCGCTCCCGGGGCCGGGGCGTGGGTGGTCCGAGCAGCCCCACGCAAGGCCAGGGGGTGCCCCGGGGACTCCGGGCCTGCCCTCCCGTCGCCAGCCCCGGTCCGGCCGCGTGGGTACCTGCCAGCCCGCGGCTCCGGGGGGCGTCCGCGCTCCTGCGGCTGGCGCGCTGCGCCCGGACTGCGGGCGCCAAGTCGGGCGGCGGCTGGGCGCGCCCCGCGCGGGCTCGGGCTCGCTCCTCCCCGCTTCCCCAGCCCATCCGTGGGCACAGGCGGCTCCGGGGGCGCGCAGGCCGGGCGCAGCCGGGCGAGGCCGGGGAACCGCAGCCCGCGCGCAGGGCGGGAGATGCGCGCCCCGACCCCCGCGGCCGCGCGCCGCGCTGCGCCCGAGCCCCCCACGCCGAGGGGCGGACCCTGCAGGGCCGCCAATCCCCGCGCCCGCCCCCGGCCCGCCGGAGCCCCCCCCCCCCGCCCAGCCGCCGAGGGGGCGGGGGGCGCGGATTTAAAGACACACTCACCCGGCCGCGTCCGGATCGGCCTCCCGGGGCCGGGGCCGGGGCCGCGGGGCGGGGAGCGCACGGCTGGCCCCACCCTCTCCGCCCCGCTTCCTCCCTCCGCCCGCCCACCCTCCGCGGGGAGGAAAAGTTTGGGGCGGGGGAGCCTGCCCGTGAAGCCAGTTCCTCTTCCCTTGCCATTAGTTCGGCTTGTTCTGGAAGATGCCCAAACCCTGCATCCAGCCTCCCGGGCTGCAGAAAGAAGCCAGCGCGCTTTGGCGCCACCCCCCCCCCAGGCGCCCGCTCCCCGGGAGCTCGGCGGCCGCAGCTCCCCCGCGCGCTCCGCTTTCTGAAGCCGGGCCGGGCCTCGGCGGGGCGCAGACGAGCATCGAGCATCCGGGAGCCCGAGAAATGCCGCCCGGTGCTGTGCACCCTGAGCTTAGGCGACGGCCCTCTCTGGGCCGCGGCCACTCCGACGGGCACAGGGCGGACTGTCCGCTCGGCGCGGGCCCTCCCCAGCCCTGGACGCCCCTCGGCCCGAGGCTCAAAGCAAAGAGCGCGGCAGACACTTGGGGAAGCGAGGGGACCCTCGGCCCCCGTCCCCCTGCCCGCTCACGGTGACACTCGCGACCCCGCCCCTTCGGCGCCCAGCGGCCCACGCGGGCCCGTGGCCACCCCGCCCCCGCCCCCGGCCCCGCCCCCGGCCCCGCCGCCCGCACCCACGTGCGCTCACTCTCGCCGCCGCCTCCTCTCCCCGAGCCCGGCTTTGTTGTGGTTAGTGAGTCACTTCCTCCCTCTCTCCGCGCTCGGGAAATCCTTCTTCCTCACCTGTCACTACCTGTCTCGCCCCCACGCGGGCCGGAGGGGGCCTTGGTGGAGCGGCTCTCCCCAGGACGGTGGCCTCACCTCCTTCCAACGTCAGGCTGTCAGGCCGGAGGGCGCTGGGCTGGGAGGGGGTACCCAGCTCCCGCATTACCCGCCCCCCCCCTTAGCCCTGGGAATGAATGAAGACAAAAGGAACTGTTGTCCTTGGTGGTTCTCTTACCAGGTCTCCAGCACCCACGTTTCAAGTGCTTCATTCACCTGGAATGATTTTGTGAACTAACTACTGTCACTGACCCTATTTTAGTGGATGAGGAAACTGAGGCCCCTGGAAGGCCTGCCCGCAGCTGCAGGCTGGCCTCTGCCCACCCAACATGTGCCAGGAGCGGCCAGAGAAGCACACCCGACAGCCTTCAGAATCGGGCAGAGCTAGGCTCAAACAGGCCCACAGTCTACAGGCTGTGTGGTCTGGGATGCGTGATACAAGCTCTCTGATCTCCAGGTTCCTCATCCATAAGCCGGCCTGGCTTCCTTCCAGGGGGTGCTGAGAAGCCCAGAGCTGGGGTGCCTAATGCCTGGGGTAGCATGCTGCACATGGTAGGCTCCATCCTTGGGCGCCATTCCCCTCCTTCCTCCTCTTGCCACAACCACATAACTCACCCCACCCCCTGCCAGATTCCCCAGGATATCCCTGCCTGCCATCCTGAGGATGCTGCATTCCTGGACAATGCCCCCTTGAGGCAGGACTAAAGTAAGGGTGTACCCTGCACGAGCATGAGCACGCGCACACGGGTGCATGCACACATACATGCATGCACGTGCATACAAATACACACATGTGCATACATGCGGCTCCCTCTCCCTCACTCTCCAGCAGATGCTGGGGGCTGCGTCTGCATCCATCTGTTTCTCTAGACTGAGCCCCTGGAAGACAAATTTCTGACTCTGACCTGTCTTTTGGTCTCCAGCGCAGTGCCAAACTCACTCATTTCTTTTCACCATGGACACAGTAGGTGTGCACCTACTATTCTTGTTGAATCAAGCAGAAAAGCCCAGGGCAGAGGTGTCCCCCGGACAGCCAGCAATCACAGCCCTTCTAGCTCCAACAGACAGCCTCGAGGCTCAGCGGGTAGACCCAGAGGTAAAGGACCGGAAGCCTGAAGCTATTTCAGGGTCACGTCTCAGACTCCATCCAGACCACAGTGCTCAGCCTCACCAGCCCACCCCCAGCTCCTGAGGTTCCACCAAGTCCCTGCGGGTCATGGGGCTGAGGGTCCTCCCAACCACAAGAAAGGCCCAGGACCAGATGGGCCCCACCCTGGACCTGGGAGGAAGAGAGTAAGGAAGGGACACAGAGCAACTCCTAGATATGCCCAAGGGAAGGCACTCTGCTCCCTCCCCTGCCTGAAGCAGGAGGCAAGAATCCCTACGCTAATACTTTGAGCCTAAATTGCCCCCAGAAGCTTCTGAGACATCTGGAAGCTTGGAGCAGAAGCCCAAAGGTCCCTGAGAAAGGATCAATGGTCCCAGAACAGGATTTCAAACACTAGAGGGCTCGGGACCTATGCCCACTCTGCCGGCACCCCCACCAGCTAGTTCTACCACCACCCCACATTCTACATGCATAAGCACCCAAGACATCACCCTAGCATAAGCACCCAAGACATCACCCTATCATCTAAAGAATGCCAGGAAAAAAAAAAAAAGAATGCCAGGGCCCCGTGGGTGAGCACTTGTGTGTGCATACATACATGCTTGTGTTGCTCATGTATGAGCTCATGTTTGCAGAGACGTGAATAACGGGTATGCATGTGTGCACAAATGTCCAATGAGCGCGAGTGTGGACATACAAGTGAGCCTGTGTGTGTGTGTGCAACAAACGAACCTACTGCAGCCCAGAGCTACAGAGAGTAGCCAAATAGCCCCACTACTCACACTTCCAGAATTGCCAGTGGCCTCCACAGCCCCCTTGGCCCAAGCAGGCAAGGTGCTGGTGCTCTTGGAAGAGACTCTCAAGTTCAGTCCCTGCACAGAAACACAAACTGTGGGAACCCCAGTTGCCTCATGGGAACACTCAAGCCAAAAATTATTTCCTGACAGGCACACAAATGCCTCACCGGAAGGCAGAGGAGCTGAGTTCAAACAGCAAAGATGAGACTTGGCGGAAGATGACAAACAGGCCCTCCTGTGCTTCTCGGCTCCTTGCTCCCCGCTAAGCCCACCACAGACCGCAGGAGGCTGGGCTGGAGGAAGGGACGGAGTCAGGGCAGGGAGCCGACCCAGCCTCGCTCCCCATGGCATTGCTCTGGTGGGCCCACCAGGGTGGGGGGTGTCTCGGAGCCTGTGGTCTTCCCCTTGAGCCAGATGGCCCCTGAGCCTCCCTATCACACACCTGCTGTCTGAGTCCCAACACAGACCAATTCCCACCTGCCCTGGCTGCCTGGGGTCCTGCTGTGCCTGTCTGGCCCTCCAGGCCCACTGCCCCATCTCCAGGACTCAGCATCCCTCTTCGGTTCAAGCCCCTTCCGTGTACGGCCTGGGGCTTACAGACATGGACTCTGAGCAGAGCTCTGGATCTAGCCTCCCTAACGTTACCACCATGAGATCCCTACCCTAAAAGTCCCCACATTTTTCGAGTTTCCTTTTCTTCATTTGTAAAATGATGTGTGGCTCCTGCCTCCCAGGAATGTCTGGAGGATTGAAGGGGTGCCTGGCACTCAGCTGGAGCTCACTGATGGCACCTATGGCTAGCGTTACTATTATTGCCACCCGAGCTTGCACTCTGACCTAGCCCTGAACCTGCCAGGCAGAGGTGTTCTTCAAAGGCTGCATTCACACTTTACCTCCTCCAAGCAGTCTTCCCTGCTGACAGGATCTCTGTCTCTCTGGACTCTTTCCCCCTCACCTCTTCACAGGGCCCTGGACCTGAGCACTCCTACCAGGCACAGGATACATGTTCAACAATTGGCATCATAGTCATCAGCAGGATCATTAATGTTATTGGTTGTACCCTCTTTTGGGTCTGGGTTCAGGGATGACATCTCCTGTGACTGAAATTCACACACCTGGTTCCAACTTTTTTGACCAAGACTCCAGGTAAGAAATAGGTTTAACATCGGGACCACCAGAAGTGAGATCATTCTGGAGGGACTCATGCTATGAAGTAAGTAACACAAAAGAATAGTAAGGAAGAGCGTACTACAGGGCTACTTGAGAAATGATGGAGGCCTCTGAGCCTCCGGGCACGCATCTATAAAAGGATGACAGTGACACCTGGGCAGGTGAGTGTCACCCTTAAATGGGGTGATGAATTCACCACCCCGCAGCACCACCCTGGCACAGAGCAGCCTTTATCACCACCGTGTTTAGGTGGATACCAAGGCCCGATTTGAAGGCAGGCCGTGATGAGCTGCACAAGGCAGTGCAGTGGGGCTCAGAGGAGGATGAGGGGACAGTGCCAGCCGCAGCACAAGCCCAGACCTATGCATGTATTTTTTTTTTTTAAGATTTTGTTTATCCATTCATGAGAGACAGAGAGAGAAAGAGACAGAGGCAGAGACACAGGCAGAGGGAGAAGCAGGCTCCATGCAGGGAGCCCAACGTGGGACTTGATCCCAGGTCTCCAGGATCAGGCCCTGGGCCGAAGGTGGCGCTAAACTGCTGAGCCACCCGGGCTGCCCCGACCTATGCATGTATTGACTTGTCCCTCTGCACACCCGCCTGGCTCATCCCTCCCCATTCCACCCCCACTGCTCTATTCCAACCGTCCTCACCACGATCCACCCTAGCTCAGTTTGCGTTGTCCTCTCTCGAAAAGCTAGAGCACTGAGGAGTTAACTTCCTTCTAGTGGGGCGTCCCAGACCATGCACAGCCAGATACCCTGTGCTCCCATACCCAGCAGCCCTCACGGCTCTACCCTGTGCTTTGAAGGGCTCCCGGCTCATCAGACCACACCTGCCCAGGAACATGGGTGCCGGATCTCAGCAAGACGGCCAGAGGGTGCAGATCTGAAACCCAGCCCCAGGGAAATGCCAAAGGGCCCAGGT